ATTTTTTTTTTAAGACAGGGTTTCACCATGTTGGCCAGGCTGGTCTTGAACTCCTGACCTCAGGTGATCCTCCTGCCTCGGCCTCCCAAAGTGCTGAGATTACAAGCATAAGCCACCATGCCCGGCCTTTCTCCCTTCCATTTTTAAGGACCCTTGTGGTTAAATGGGGCTCACTTGGATAACACAGGCCATTCTCCCCATCTCAAGATCTTAACTTAGCTGCATCTGCCAACTCCCTTCCGCCATATAACGCAACAAATTCACAGGTTCCAGGGATGAGGAACTGGATATCTTCAGGGGACCGTTTCTCTGCCTACCGCAGTAAAGTCACCACCTTAGACATCTAGTCATCGGATTTGACACTACTGGGACGTATCTTTGGGTCTTATTTTCCCAAGTCTAGTCTGTTGAGTAATTCTGTTAAATATCTAGGCATCTAATAGTTTCTAAATACATTTGAAGAGATTTCTTTTTTTTTTTTTCTGAGATGGAGTTTCACTGTTGTCCAGGTTGGAGTGCAATGGTTCAACCTCAGCTCACTGCGACCTCCACTCCTGGGTTCCAGTGATTCTCCTGCCTCAGCCTCCCGAGTAGCTAGGGTTACAGGCATGCACCACCATGCCTGGCTAATTTTTTTTGTATTTTTAGTAGAGACAGGGTTTCTCCATGTTGGTCAGCTGGTCTCGAACTCCGACCTCAGGTGATCTGCCCACCTCGGCCTCCCATAGTGCTGGGATTACAGGTGTGAGCCACCGTCCCCGCCTGAGATTTCCGACTACGTCATACAGTAGTCAGGAACTACAGTGTTCCTGTCAGGGAACATGAGGAAATGTATGGGGGCTCCATTAACTGCCATCTTCACAAGCAGAATTTCTTCCATCTCAAGGTGACCCTATGATTGCCATCATCCCTTACATATGGAGCAGTGGAAGCAGATCTCACTCTAAAAATGGTCCCACATAACATTACATAATGTTTTTGAGTAGACAAAATGGTTTCACAGCATTTTAAGGCTATATAAAGAAATAGCTAAATGCAAAGATGTGCCTGGGTGTGGTAGCTCATGCCTGTTTCCCAGCACTTTGGGAGGCCAAGGCGGGAGGGTCAATTGAAGTCAAGAGTTCAAGACCAGCCTAGGCAACATAGCAGGACCCCGTCTCTACAGAAAATACAAAAAACAAATTAGCAGGGCATGGTAGCGCACCCCTGTAGTCCCAGCTACTCAGGAGGCTGAGGTGGGAGGATTGCCTGAGCCTGAGAGGTTGAGGCTACAGTGAGCTGAGATCATGCCACTACACTCCAGCTTGGGCAGCACAGCGAGAGGCTCTGTCTCAAAAAAAAAAAAAAAAAGCAAAGATGATCGATGGAATCAGATGACAAATGTGCACTCAAACCTGACTCACCCACCCGTATGACCTTGCTAAGTCTCAGCTTTACTTCTCTGTACCTACTTCATGGTTCACGTGAGATGGAATGAAATGAAGCCTACAAAGCTTTTGGCAGGGACTTCACTGTTGTTATTATTATCAAGAAGACAATACTATGCTTGACATAATAGGTTCCCTATTTTACCTATAAAGAAAGAGACTCGACCAGGCGCAGTGGCTCATGCCTGTAATCCCAGAACTTTGGGAGGCCAAGGTCAGAGGATTACCTGAGGTCAGGAGTTCAAGATCAGCCTGGCCAACATGGTGAAACCCCATCTCTACTGAAAATACAAAAATTAGCCAGGGATGGTGGCATGAGCCTGTAATCCCAGCTACTCGGGAGCTGAGGTAGGAGAACTGCTTGAACCTGGGAGGTGGAGGCTGCAGCGAGCGGAGATGGCGTCACTGCACTCCAGCCTGGGCAACAGAGCAAGACTCCATCTCAAAAAAAAAGAAAAGAAAAGAGACTCCCCAAAAGCAAATAACTTGTCTAAAACAGCACAGCTAGTACATGTCAGTGCCTAACACACATGGTATTTACTCCTGAAATATCTTTGTTGCTGATCCTTTTTGATCAGAGGTCCTTTTAAAAATTTCTTCTCTCAGGATTTGCAGAATCTGTTTCCAGCCAAGGTTTCTATATACACTTAGTCAACTTTAAAATTTACTGATGTGCTGATTAAGAAATGTTTCAGTTTAGTTTCATTTTACAAATAATTATATAAAAAATTATTAGCAGGTCTCCAGATTTTTAGTCTAGCTTTTTTTTTTTTTTTTTTTTTGAGAGGGAGTTTCTCTCTTTTTTTTTTTTTTTTTTCAGACAGAGTCTTGCTCTGCTGCCCAGGCTGAAGTGCAGTGGCTCAATCTGGGCTCACTGCAACCTCCACCTGCCAGGTTCAAGCAATTCTCCAGCCTTAGCCTCCCAAGTAGCTGGGAATACAGGCACATGCCACCGTGTTCAGCTTAATTTTTGCATTTTTAGTAGAGACGGGGTTTTACCATGTTGGCCAGGTTGGTCTCGATCTCCTGACCTCAGGTGATCTGTCTGCCTCAGCCTCCTGAAGTGCTGGGATTACAGGTGGCAGTCACCACACCCAGCTGAGTTTCACTCTCGTTGCTCAGGCTGCAGTGCAATAGCGAGATCTCGGCTCACTGAAACCTCCACCTCCCGGGTTCAAACGATTCTCCTGCCTCAGTCTCCCGAGTAGCTGGGATTACAGGTGCCCACCACCATGTCTGGCTAATTTTTTGCATTTTTTTTTTCTTTTTGAGACAGAGTTTCACTCTTGTTGTCCACGCTGAAGTGCAATGGCATGATCTCCGTTCACTGCAACCTCTGCCGCCCAGGTTCAAGCAATTCTCTTGCTTCAGCCTCCTGAGTAGCTGGGATTACAGGCGTATGCCACCATGCCCAGCTAATTTTGTATTTTTAGTAGAGACAAGTTTCTCCATGTTGGTCAGACTAGTCTTGAACTCCCAACCTCAGGTGATCTGCCTGCCTCAGCCTCCCAAAGTGCTGGGATTACAGGCATGCCACCACACCTGGACCTAATTTTTTTGTATTTTTAGTAGAGACAGGGTTTCACCATGTTGGCCAGGCTGGTCTCAAACTCCTGTCCTCAGGTGATCCACCTGCCTCAGTCTCCCAAAGTGCTGGGAATACAGGCATAAGCCACCAAGCCTGGCCTTCAATACAGTATTTTAAAGACAAATACTAGGGAAGAAAAGATTTATTCAAAGTATCATTCTGGCCAGGCTCTGTGGCTCACATCTGTAAACCCAACACTTTGAAGGGCCAAGCCAGGAGGATTGCTTGAGCCCAGGAATCAAGACCAGCTTGGGTAACACAGTGAGACTCTGTCTCTACCAAAAAAAGAAAAAAAAGAATCATTCTCCCTGGATAAAGCAAGATGCTTCTCTTCTTTTGATGTATATAATTTAGATCCTGAGACTTAAGCTGTTTTGTATCTTGCCTTGCCTTTTTCCTCACTTGACATTACAGCATAAGCATTTCCTCCATATAATTAAATATATTTCATAAACATTTTTAGGAGTCCCAGGTAGCTGGGACTACAGATGTGTGCCACCGGCTAATTTTTGTATTTTTGTAGAGGCAGGATTTCACCATTTTGGCCAGACTGGTCTCAAACTCCTGACATCAGGTGATCCGCCCACCTCAGCCTCCCAATGTGCTGGGATTACAGGCGTGAGCCACCGGGCCTGGCTGAAACCATACTTTTATCAGTCATACCTGTGGTCATTAAGCGCAAATATGTAACAGAGATTTGGGACTCTTTTTAACTAATTTAGACCCAAATACTTTTAAAGGATGGTATACATATAAAATGCAGATGTCCCTAAATTTCATTAAAAGGTTATTTTTTAAATGTTATATTATTAATACACTTAAAAAGCAAAGTAGAGGCCATGCACAGTGGCTCATGCCTGTAATCCCAGCACTTTGGGAGGCTGAGGTGGGTCACGAGGTCAAGAGTTCGAGACCAGTCTGGCCAATACAGCAAAACTCCATCTCTACTAAAAATACAAAAATTAGCTGGGCATGGTGGCGCGGGCCTGTAGTCCCAGCTACTCAGAAGGCTGAGGCAGGAAAATTGCTTGAACCTGGGAGGCGGAGGTTGCAGTGAGCTGAGATCCCGCCACTGCATTCCAGCCTGGGTAACAGAGAGAGACTCTGTGTCGGAAAAACAAAAAAGATATTGGGTGTTTGTTTTTGGTTTTTGTTTTTCTGTTCCACAATAGATTCAGTCTCGTGGACTACCCCACACTGCCTCTTGCAGTCACAGGTTATTGACCATCCACCCTCTATCCTACGGTGCCTTTCAAAGGGTGTGATCTCTGAGGTCTTTTACAGCCTAGTGACCAAACATTAAATGGGCTAAGATGTCAAGATCCAGGTATTAGAATAGGTCCAGCTCATCTGCAAGAATATCATCCTTTCCCCATCTCCTCCATTTCAACAACCTGTAATTCCTCCCACCCACTGAATGGGAGGAAGCATCTACAGATCATGCAGCTGACATGGAACTTGTATCTAGAATATATAAAGAACTCTTACACTTTGAAATCGTAAGACAAAAGGCCAGCCATGGTGGCTCACACCTGTAATCCCAGCACTTTGGGAGGCCAAGGTGGGCATACCATCTCAGGTTAGGAGTTCGAGACCAGACTGACCAACGTGGTGAAACCCCACCTCTACTAAAAACACAAAAATTAGCTAGGCGTAGTGGTGCATGCCTGTAATCCCAGTTACTTGGGAGGCTGAGGCAGGAGAATTGCTTGAACCCAGGAGGCAGACGGTGCAGTGAGCTGAGATCCCGCCTTGCACTCCAGCCTGGGCAACAGAGAGAGACCCTGTGTCAAAAAACCAAAAAGGACATTGGGTCTGATGGGGTTGAGAGGATTATCTGTGATCAACATACGGCCTATGAGATAAGAGTCAGTTTTTCTGTTCTGTTTTTTTTTGCTTTTTTTTTTTTCTTGTTCCACAATAGATTGTCTCAAGGACTACCCAGGGAAAGCAACAGCAAAATTATAAAATGATTTTTTCCTCACTTTTGCTATCAACTTGTTCTTTATTTAGACGTTCTGCTTCTGGAAGTAGATATAATTACACTGTGTGCCGCACATATCTGTCATTATGTTATACAATGACGTATTTCACAATGTCTATGTGCCAGATAAGTGAATCTTACAGCTTTAAATGCCTGAACATGTAATTTAAACATTTTTTCACTAAGGGTTCTTCTGAACAAATGACACTGTCTCATCTGACTGGCCTTTTGCGACTCAAGGCCATGGTAACAAATGTCAGTCTTACATAACTATAACCAAATGACGCCCTAAAGGCACACTGAGGGCTGTCACCACTGGCCTCTAAACTAAATGGTCCCAGACTGATGAGTTGTTTTGGAGTTCTTGGCTCTGCTTTTCATAGAAACATTTCTTTTTTATGGGCTATTTGTGTATCTGCTGCTCTTAGTATTGGTGGCCTTGGGCAATGTGTCCCATCCCTTTCTAACTTGCTGCATTCAAAGAAATGTTTGTTTTACCACCTACGTTACTGGTGACATTGTACATTTTTCATCTGTTAGATCCTAGGGCTGTAGCCATAGTCTTTTCAATTCCAAGTTTCAGGAGGCTAATAGCTTAAGCAAAAAATGTACGTTTATTCTAAGATTATGGGGGTATCTCAAAGGTAAAAGTGAACGGGGTAGGGGGCAGAACCAGGGAGTAGAAGCTCAGCAGAAACCAGAGGCCATTCTCTTCGTCTCTCTCACCTGTGTGTGTCTTTGCCCAGCTGTTTCATTGTTTTACTTCCACAGATTACTGCTCTAAGCTTCTCCATGCACGTGAGGGTTATGTCAAATCCGTTCGAGTCACCTACAGAGAAGAAACAGTTGTCTGTATCCCAAGGCCAAAGCCAGAGAGACTGGGCCGGTTTGGGTCAGGTTCCCACCTGTGTTCCAGTCACCTGTGGCCAGGAGAATAAGGTCACATCATATAAAAATGGCTGCTGCGCCACCTCTAGGAGAAAGGACAGCCTAGAGGAAGGAGGAACTGGCTTAATGTCACCAGCAACAAAGGAAGCAGAAAATCAAAACTGTTCCAATTGCATCTAAAATAAAAATAGAGGCTGGGCGCAGTGGCTCACACCTATAATCCCTGCACTTTGGGAAGCCGAGACAGCTGGATCACTTGTGCTCAGGAGTTCAAGATCAGCCTGGGCAACCTGGTGAAACCCTGTCTTTACCAAAAGTACAAAAAAAAAAAAAAAAAAAAAGCTGGGCATGGTGGCAAGTGCCTGCAGTCCTAGCTAATTGGGAGGCTGAGGTGGGAGGATCGCTTGAACCTGAGAGGCAGAGGTTGCAGTGAGCCGAGATCCTACCCAGGTGACACAGTGAGACACTGTCTCAAAAAGAAAAAAAAAAAAAAGGATAAGCTTGGTTTGAGGGACTGAGATGCTCCCCGATGAAGAAAGAACATGAGGTCTGGCCCCACGGATTCATGGCATATACTTTGCTTTTCTTGAGACCTTGTTGTTTACTCCCTGTTTATTGGAATTATTACTGAGACATAACTCACGTACCATAAAATTTACTCTTTTTAAAAGTACAATTCAGTGGCTTTTAGTATCTTCACAGGTTCCGCAGCTATCACCACTCTCTTTCCTAGCACATTTTCATCCCCTGACTGGAAGCCTCGTATTCATCAGCACTCACTTTCCAGCCTTCCTTTCCTCTAGCCCCTGGCAACCACTAATCTACTTTCTGTTTTTCTGTTTGTTTTTTGTTTTTGAGATGGAGTTTCACTCTTGTTGCTCAGGCTGAGTGCAGTGGCGTGATCTCAGCCCACCGCAACCTCCACCTCCTGGGTTCAAACGATTCCCCTGCCTCAGCCTCCAGAGTAGCTGGGATTACAGGTGCGCGCCATCACACCTGGCTAATTTTTGTATTTTTAGTAGAGACAGGATTTCTCCATGTTGGTCAGGCTGGTCTTGATCTCCCGACCTCAGGTGATCCACCTACCTCAGCCTCCTGAAGTGCTGGGATTACAGGTGTGAGCCACTGCACGTGGCCTCCACTTTCAATTTCTATGGATTTGCCTATTCCAGACATGACCTATACACAGAATCATACAGTAAGTGCCCTCTCGTGTCTGGCTTCTCTCACTCAGCACGGTGTTTTCAAGGATTATCCATGGATATCCAAGGATTATCCAAGGCAGCATGTGTCAGTGCTGCCTTCCTGTTGTGGCTGAATCATATTCCATTGTGTGGATGGACCACATTGTATTTATCTGCTCATTAGTTGATGGACATTTAGGTTGTTTCCACTTTTTGGCTATTATGAATGCTGCTATGAACACTATGTTTTCATCAGAGATTTATAATTTTAAATCTTATATTTATGTCTTTGATCCATTTTGAATTAATTTTCTTTTTTTTTCTTTTTTAAGACGGGGTTTCACCATGTTGGCCAGGCTGGTCTCGAACTCCTGACCTTAAGCAATCCACCGCCTTAGCCTCCCAGAGTGCTGGGATTATAGGCGTGAGCCACCGCGCCTGGCCTGAATTAATTTTCTTTCTCTTTCTTTCCTTATTTATTTTTATTTATTTATTTATTTATTTATTTATTTTGGAGACGAAGTCTCGCTCTGTCACCCAGGCTGGAGTGCAGTAGCACGATCTCAGCTCATTACAGCTGCCACCTGCTGGGTTTGAGCAATTTTTCTGCCTCAGCCTCCCAAGTAGCTGGGATTACAGGCATGACCCACCACACCTGGCTAATTTTTGTATTTTTAGTAGAGACAGGGTTTCACCATATTGGTCAGGCTGGTCTCAAACTATCAACCTCAAGTGATCCACCCACCTCAGCCTCCCAAAGTGCTGGGATTACAGGTGTGAGCCATTGCACCCAGCCTTCTTATTTATTTTTGAGACAGGGTCTCACTCTGTCACCCAGGCTCACACTGCATCCTTGATCCCCTAAACTCAAGTGATCCTCCTGTCTCACCTTCCCAAGTAGCTGGGATCACAGGCATGCTGTTGCATTTTTAAAGTATTTGTGGAGATGGGGGGGTCTCTCTATGTTGTCCAGGCTGGTCTCAAACTGCTGGGTTCAAGCAATACTCCAAGTTAATCTCCCAAAATGCTGGGATTATAGGAATGGGCCACTGTGTCTGGTGAATAAAGTTGTTGTTTTTTTTTTTTTTAAAGAAATAAACCAGGCTGGGCACTGTGGCTCAAGCCTGTAATCCCAGCACTTTGGGAGGCCAAGGTGGGTGGATCGCAAGGTCAGGAGATCAAGGCCATCCTAACCAACATGGTGAAACTCATCTGTATTAAAAAATACAAAAAATTAGTCGGGCATGGTGACACACACCTATAGTCCCAGCTACTCAGGAGGCTGAGACAGGAGAATTGCTTGAACCAGGGAGACAGAGGTTGCAGTGAGCCAAGATCACGCCATTGCACTCCAGTCTGGGCAACAGAGTGAGTCTCCGTCTCGGAAAAAAAAAAAAAAGATAAACCAAGGGCAACAGCGTAAACAAAATCACTTTCTTTTCCTAGCCTTTTCTTGGCTTCCCAAAGTGCTAGGATTACAGGCTTGAGCCACAGCGCCCAGCTGATTTATTTTTTAGGATCAGTTTCTTTGGTTGGGCCTAATGATGTTACAACTAGTAATTTATGAAAACTTGCATTTCTGTTTTTCTTACCCATCCCCATTCCAAAACACAAGCAAACCATCTAGAATGAGGATTTGTAAGGTTGAGACGAACTCATTACTATAGGGTAAGTATGAAAAGGGGCTGGAAATGTGTTTTGATTGTTGCCATGACTTTTTTCTTCTTTTCTGTTTTTTTTGAGATGGAGTCTCACTCTGTCGCCCAGGCTGGAGTGCAGTGGAGCCATTTCAGCTCACTGCAACCTCTGCCTCCCTTCAGGCGATTCTCCTGCCTCAGCTTCCTGAGGAGCTGGGATTACAGGTACCTGCCACAACGCCCAGCTAAGTTTTTCGTATTTTGAGTAGAGATGGGGTTACACCATGTTGGCCAAGCTGGTCTGGAACTCCTGATCTCAAGTGATCCACCCGCCTCGGCCTCCCAAAGTGCTGGGATTACAGGCGTGAGTCACCGTGCCCAGCCATGTTTTGATTCTTAAGGAAATGATTTTTTTAAGAACCCTTCCAATGAGGATTTAGCAAGGGAGTGTTCCTCTTCTACAGAGAATTTGAGCTTTCCCAATTGCACCAAGCTCCATCTGGGCAGAGACCTCACCTGCCTGTTCACTCCATATCCCTAGCATCGAGAAAATTGCCAAGCGAAAAACAGGCACTCAGTAAATTTCTGTCAAATGAATGAATAAAATACCACCACCTTTTCCTGGGACCATTTTGGACCAAGGCATGCATGGGCATCTCTGTTCCTTCCTCTAACTTAACAATTCCATCTCTTAGAGGCAGATGCTGTTTTCTGCAAATTTTATTATTCACCTCTCTATATTTGGAAAAACAAGTTGGTGTAGCTTAGGAATCTCACATCCAGGAAATGAACTAAAAATGTTGTATCAAAGATTATACAGAGGATCCACAAAGTAAGAAGCAAGCAGATGAGAGCAGTTAGAGACATCATGCCATATTTTCCAGAAGAAATGGTCCATGGATTAAAAATTATCACGATGGGCCAGGCATGGTGGCTCACACCTGTAATCCTAGCACTTTGGGGGGCTGGGGGGGGTGGGTCACCTGAGGTCGGGAGTTCAAGACCAACCTGACCAACATCTCTAGAGATGGAGAAACCCCATCTCTATGAAAAATATAAAATTAGCCTAGTGGTGGCGCATGCCTGTAATCCCAGCTACTCGAGAGGCTGAGGCAGGAGAATCGCTTGAACCCAGGAGGCAGAGGTTGCAGTGAGCCAAGATGGCGCCATTGCACTCCAGCCTGGGCAACAAGAGCGAGACTGTCTCAAAAAAAAAAAAAGAAAGAAAAAAAAATCATTATGAGTCTGCAGTAACATAGAAACCAAATAGTGTGAATGAGAAAATGAAAAGCACAACCATTGACTGTGATTACAAACCGTAACTATACCGATTACCTGACAGAATTTATGCTGCATGAAGGCAGGATATTTTGCTTGTTCTCTTCACTGGATAGTATCTGGCATATGGAATGTGCTTATTAATATTTTCTGAATGTATTGGGGAAAGTAAATATAACATTCACCTATAAAAACATATCTGTTGTGGTGGCTCACTCCTGTAATCCCAACACTTCAGGAGCCCAAGGCAGGCGGATCACGTGAGGTCAGGAGCTGGAGACCAGCCTGGCCAACATGGTGAAAACCCAGCTCTACTAAAAACACAAAAATTATCTGGAAGTGGTGGCAGGTGCCTATAATCCCAGCTACTCGGGAGGCTGAGGCAGGAGAATCACTTGAACCTGGGAGGCAGCGGTTGCAGTCAGCCGAGATCACCCCTCTGCACTCCAGCCTGGGCAAGAGTGAAACTCTATCTCCAAAGAGAGAGAGAGAGAGAGAGAAAAGAAAACATATCTGAAGGGAATGAACAAATATCCACGCGGAAAATTGTGTTTTTGAAGTGGAATGGTGGCTGTTTCCCCCACTTTCCCTCTATTTTCCAATTCTCCCCTGAAGTTGTGATACCATTTTCTCAGTGGAAAGGATGACCACAGAATCGCCTCCCCCGGGCTGCAACTAAGGAAGCATTTGGATTGGAGTGAGAATGCGGCCAGGCTTCAAATCCAGGAGGGGCATCTTACAGGGTGTGTGGCTCTCACCCAGAGCTCACGCGACATCTGATATTTAGGCTGAGGGCGGCACGGTCCCAGCTCCAGCTGCACGCGTTTAGGAGCCTGTAGTCCTGAGCGATGGCTGCTGCAGATAGCCCCTGAGTCCTCTACGGAAGTCCCTGGCACCTAAAAGGACCCCTAAGGGGGGTTGCTCGTTACCCCTCACTTGAACTCGGCCCCAAATGGGAGGTCACCCTCTCCTCGCGGACTCCCTCTTCCCCGAAACAGTCTCTCGTTCTCCCTGGCCCTCCTGAGAAGGTCATTACTCCCCAACCCGCCTTTTTTGTTGTTTTTTGGTTTCTGGTTTTTTGAAGCAGGGTCTCGCTTCGTCTCCCAGACTGGAGTGCAGTGGCGAGATCACAGCTCAAGGCAGCCTCGACCTTCTGGGCTCAAACGATCCTCTCACCTCAGCCTCCCCAGTAGCTGGGACCACAGGCGACCGCCACTACGCCCGGCTTCGTGAGTATTTTTGATAGAGATGGGATCTCGCTATGTTGTCCAGGCTGGTCTCTAAATCAAGGGACCCTCTCACTTCGGCCTCCGAAAGCGCTGGGATGACAGGTGTGAGCCACCGCGCCAGGCCCCTCGCCCGCCTTTGGAAGAAGTCATTTGTCCCGAAGGGCGAGGCCACTCCCTCCCCACGAGTTCCAGGCTCCCTGGAGGGTCCAGGTTCCCGGCAGGGAGGTGGCGCCCTCCCCCGGGCCCCAGGCCCCGGGCCCAGACCGCCCGCGCCGCCTCCTTCCGGGCCCTCCCCCGCGATGACGGCACCGCAGGCCGGCCGGGCTGGGCGGGGCTCCGAGCGGGGACTGAGACCCGGACGGGCTCTGGGACGGGGAGCGGGCGGCGCGGCCATGGCGGGCTGCTGCGCCGCGCTGGCGGCCTTCCTGTTCGAGTACGACACGCCGCGCATCGTGCTCATCCGCAGCCGCAAAGTGGGACTCATGAACCGCGCCGTGCAGCTGCTCATCCTGGCCTACGTCATCGGGTGAGCGCGGCCGCGCGGGGTCGGGCTGGGGTCGCGGGGGCGTCGCGCGGGGTCGGACGGGAGCTGCCTTCGGCTCCGCGTCCTGCGGCGGCTCATCCCGGCCTCGGTCACCTGGGCGAGTATGGGGGCGGCAAGCCGAGGCGATGACACCTTCCCCGGGCTCCAGCCGCAGCGACGGGGTCCCGGGGGCAGGAGGCTGCTTGCTGCTGCTTTGAAGCCACAGCCGGGGCCGGGCGCGGTGGCGCACGCCTGTAATCCCAGCACTTTGGGAGGCCTAGGCGGGCCCATCGTCCGAGCCCAGGAGTTCGAAACCAGTCTGGGCAACATCGTGGGACCCCGTCTCTGCAAAAAATTAAAAATCGGGCCGTGGTGGCGCGCGCCTGGGGTCCCAGCTACTCAGGAGGCTAAGGTGGGAGGATCGCTTGAGCCCAGGAGGCTGAGGCTGCAGTGAGCTGTGATCACAGCACTACGCTGGAGCCTGGGAAACAGTGTGAGAGCCGTCTCTTTACAAAATAAATAAAGGCAAAGCCTGGCTAAGCCTTTACCCTCTCCTGCTTGACAACGCATAGTGCCCCTTGGCTGTGGGGGTTTTGCCCTGAACGTCTCAATCTTCTCTCTTCACTTCCCATCCTGCTGATTTGCTGACAAAACCAAAGATTGGAATTTCCGCTTGGTTCCTTCCCAGTCGGCCTTGCCCTTGGGTACGAATGACTTCTGTTCATTTCTTTTGATCACTGTACGATCAAACGAAATATAGCGAGGTCAGACTTCAAGAGTATTTAAAGTTCCCGTCCTTTGTTTTGTAAGATTGTGGGGCTTTTTATGGTACCTGCTCTAGCCCAGTCAGTCATTGCCCCCTTAGGCTAGAGATGCCCTACCGCCTCAGGTCTCGCGGAATGTGCCATTGTACTTGAAGGCACCTGTTACTCTTTTTTCTTTTTTTTTTTTTTTTGAGATGGAGTTTCTCTCACCCAGGGTGGAGTGCAGTGCCATGATCTCCACCTCCCGAGTTCAAGCGATTCTCCTGTCTCTACCTCCAGAGTAGCTGGGATTACAGCGCCTGCCACCATGCTCGGCTAATTTTTGTATTTTTTAGTAGGGACGGGGTTTCACCATGTTGGCCAGTCTGATCCTAAACTCCTGACCTCAGGTAATCCACCTGCCTCAGCCTCCCGAAGTGCTGGGATTACAGGCGTGAGCCACTGCGCCTGGCCAGCACCTGTTACTTTTGAATACAACCCAAGAGAGGAGAAGATGGGATTTACCTTGTCACCTAGGGCTACTTTAAAGGCTCACCTGGGGTGTTCCGGTGTGTACAGCTGCTGGGCTGACACGTATTGCTTAGTGCAGTGGCCCCCAAACTGCACATTGGAACCACCTGGGAATCTTTGGCACCCATCCCCAGACCTTTTTTTTTTTTTTTTTTTTTTTAGATGGAGTCTAGGTCTGTGGCCGAGGCTGCAGTGCAGTGGTGCAATCGTGGCTCACTGCAGCCTCCACCTCCTGGGCTCAAACGATTCTCATGCCTCAGCCTCCCGAGTGGCTGGGACTGTAGGCATGCGCCACCACGCCTTGCTAATTTTTGTATTTTTTGTAGAGAAGGGGGTTTTTCCATGTTGATCAGGCTGGTCTCCAACTCCTGGCCTCAAGTGATCCACCTGCCTCGGCCTCCCAGAGTGCTGGGATTATAGGTGTGAGCTACTGTGCCCAGATGCATCCCCAGACCTTCTGATTTAATTGCTGTGGAGTATGATCAGCTCCCCAGGTGATTCTGATGTTCAGCAACGTTTCGGAACCAATGAACTGTGTTTCCCAAACTTACCTGATCATGGAAGACTCATCTGAAGAATTGTTTAAAAGTAACAAATCCTCCTCCTTGGGATGAGGTTTGGAATCTGAATACTGCCCAAGGGAATTCCCCATGACCGGGCAGGTTTGCCTTCTAACATCTGTCAGCAGCAGCAGTAGGTGCAGACAGTATTCGAGATGGCTTTTCAGGTACAGACCCAACATCAGAACCACCTGGCCCACACCTGTAGTCCCAGTGCTTTGGGAGGCCAAAGTGGGAGGATCACTTGAGGCCAGGAGCTCAAGAAAACCTGGAAAATTCGCAAGACCCCTTCTCTAAAAGGAAAAAAAAAAGGTTAAAATGGTAAGTTTTACTGATGGAGAGGTGTTAAAAAAAAAAAAAACTTAGGGCCAGGCATGGTGGTGCAAGCCTGTAATCTCAGCAATTTGGGAGGCTGAGATGGGCAGATCATGAGGTCAGGAGTTCGAGACCAACCTGGCCAACATGGTGAAACCCCGTATCTACTAAAGATACAAAAAATTAGGCCGGGCTCAGTGGCTCACCCCTGTAATCCCAGCACTTTTGGAGGCTGAGGCGGGTAGCTCACAAGGTCAAGAGATCAAGACCATCATGGCCAACATGGTAAAAACCCGTCTCTACTAAAAATGCAAAAATTAGCTGGGCATGGTGGCTGATGCCTGTAATCCCAACTATTCTGGAGGCTGAGGCAGGAGAATCACTTGAACCCAGGAGGCAGAGGTTGCAGTGAGCCAAGATTGCACCACTGCACTCTAGCCTGGCAACAGAGCGAGATTCCGTTTCAAAAAAAAAAAAAGGTACAAAAAATTAGCGGGGCATGATGGCAGCTGCCTATAATCCCAGCTACTTGGGATGCTGAGGCAGGAGAGTCGCTTGAACCCTGGAGATGAGGTTGCAGTGAGCTGAGATCACACCATTGCACTCCAGCCTGGGCGACAGAGTGAGACTCCATCTCAAAGGAAAAAAATTTTTTTTTTTGGCCAGGCACAGTGGCTCATGCCTATAATCCCAGCACTTTGGGAGGCCAAGGCGGGTGGATCACCTGAGGTCAGGAGTTCAAGACCAGCCTGGCCAACATGGAGAAACCCCATTGCTACTAATAGTACAAAAAATTAACCAGGCCTGGTGGCAGATGCCTGTAATCCCAGCTACTAGGGAGGCTGAGACAGGAGAATCACTTGAACCCAGGAGACAGAGGTTGCAGTGAGCCAAGATTGCACCACTGCACTCCAGCCTGGGCAAGAAGAGCAAAACTAAAAAAAAAAAAAAAAAAAAAAAAAAAAAACTTTTGTTTTGAGACCCACTGCTAGCCAGTTAACTGAACTCACATCTGTGGTTGGACCTGAAGCATTTGGGCCAGGAGCTCCCCTGTGGCTTTTTGCTTTTGGCGTTTGCTGCTAGTGGGAGAATCAGTGCATATCTACCTTAGGGTACCTGTAAAATTACGACTGCAGCAAGTATCCATAGCGATGTTGTACTGTATGGTAGCCGCTAGCAACATGTAGCTATTGAATACTTTAACTGTTCTACTCTAAATTGAGATGTGCTGTAACTGTAAAATACACACTGGATTTCAAAGACATAGTACGGAAAAAGAGACAGGGCACGGTGGCTCATGCCTGAAATCACAGAACTTTGGGAGGCTGAGGTGGGAGGATCACTTGGGCTCAAGGGTTGAGACCAACCTGGGCAACATAGCGAGACCTTGCCTCTACAAAAAAAAAAAAAAAAAAATGCAAAAATTGGCCAGGCATGATGGCTCACGCATGTAATCCTAGCACTTTGGGAGGCCAAGGTGGGTGGATCACAAGGTCAGGAGTTTAAGACCAGCCTGACCAACATGGTGAAACCCCATCTCTATCAAAAATAGAAAAATCATTTGGGTGTGGTGGCAGGCGCTTGTAATCCCAGCTATTCGGGAGGCAGAGGGTGGAGAATTGCTTGAACCCAGGAGGCGGAGGTTGCAGTGAGCCGAGATCTCGCCACTGCACTCCAGCCTGGGTGACAGAGCGAGACTTCATCTCAAAAAAAAAAAAAAATTAGCCTGGCATGGTGGCACATGCATATAGCCCTACCTGTTTGGGAGGTTGAAGCAAGAGGATTGATTGCTTGATCCTGAGAGGTCGAGGCCACAGTGAGCTGTGACCACGCCACCCCGCTCCAGCCCGGGCAACAGAGCAAGACACTGTCTCAAAAAAAAAAGAGTACCACTATCACATCAATACATTTTCTATTGATGACATGTTAAAATATTTTGGATATATTGGGTTACACAGAATATATCATTACAATTAATTTTTCCTGGTTTTTTTTTTTTTTTTTGAGATGGGGTCTCGCTCTGTCACCCAGACCTAAGTGCAGTGCACCATCTCAGCTCACTGCAACCTCTGCCTCCCAGGATCGAGTGATTCTCCCACCTCAGCCTCTGGAATTACTTTGGCTACAGGTGCACACCACAATTGGCTAATAATTGTAATTTTTTTGGTAGAGATGAAGTTTCTCATCTCTATAGTCATGAGGTTTCCATGTTGCCCAGGCTGGTCTCAAACTCCTGAGCTCAAGCAATCTGTCCGCCTCAGCCTCCCAAAGTGCTGGGATTACAGGCGTGAGCCACCGCCCCTGGCCCCTCCTGTTCCTTTTTACTTTTTGACATGGCT